GGCTGCGGGGTGACCTCATTGCAGCCTTTCAGTACCTAAAGGGAGCCTACAAACAGGAGGGAAATCAACTATTTGAAAGGGTTGATAACCACAGGACGAGGGGAAATGGTTTTAAGTTGAGGGAGGGGAGATTTAGGTTGGATGTTGCAGGGAAATTCTTTACAGAGAGAGTGGTGAGGTGCTGGAACAGGCTACCCAGAGAGGCTGTGGATGCCCTGTCCCTGGAAGTGTTCAAGGCCAGATTAGATGGAGCCCTGGGCAGCCTGGTCTAGCATTAAGTGGGGAGGTTGGTGGCCCTGCATCTGGCAGGGGGGTTGGAGCTTCATGATCCTTGAGGTCCCTTCCAACCCTGGCCATTCTGTGATTCTGTAAAACAAACAAACAAAAAAAAATCATAAAACATGTATAACCTTTTACTATTGTTATACACTTCACTTAGGATGAAACAATTTGGTTTCATTGAAGGCTTCATTGTAGTTTATGAAAGATTGGAAAAGCTTATCACCTACATTTTTGCTTGCTATCTTAAAGGAGATAAAGACATGAAGTTATAAAGCAGTTTATGCATAAATTATCTTTTTCTAATGCTAAAATATTTATTTATAACCAGCATCTCCAACCTGCTCTGCAAGTGAATACATCTGTGCAAGTGGAGGCTGTATTTCAGCATCTTTGAAATGTAATGGAGAGTATGACTGTGCTGATGGATCTGATGAGGTAACTGAGCAATTTGTTGCTTTTTCTTCTATTCTTTGACATTAATTTTTAACCATTTGGTTGGAATTTTGGAGGGCTTTTGTTGTTGTTGTTTTTGGCATCAGTCAAAACCCTTTAGATAACTTGGCCCCATGGTTTGGTTTACATAGTACTCACATTGGATTACATCTGTTTGTAGCACACCAACTTGTTTTCCCAGAGTCAACACCTGGATGTCATTCTGGGGCAGTTTGTTTCAGGGGCTCTTCAGCTTGGATTAGTTTGTCACATTTCATTATGTTGTTATTGTTCTTGTTTATTAATAATTAGTTCACTTCTGTATTCACATAGATGGATTGTGTAACGGAATGCAAAGAAGATCAGTTTCGATGCAAAAATAAGGCCTACTGTATCCCTGTCAGATGGCTTTGTGATGGAATCCATGACTGTGTGGATGGTAGTGATGAAGAAGACTGTGTCCAAGGTTGTGTTCTTACTGATATTGTATTCTGTGCTATCAAAGAAATCAGTAATACATCCAGTAATACTGGAATGTTCTTATTTAAAATGATCTTATGAGTAATAATAATTAGAGTGCTATGTAATATCATGAAAAATCTTTAAATAAATAAGCATAAAATCCCAATTTTCTGTTTAGTTCATGTACACAAAATTCTACATCTAACATGCACGTGAGGCCCTGAAGTCAAAATTCTTTTCTACTCAGAGCACAGAACTATGCACATAAATTGGTTCACACAAACTCTGTGCTTATGACTAAGATTCTGAGAAATACATCTGTTAGTCTAATTCCCATAGTTGCTGAAATTTCAGAAATCTTGTTCTAATATATCTTTTCCATTGTGTATTTGTACATATTTGCATGCATATAGTTGCATGCAATAGCACATAGAAATGCACAGATGTAAGCAATTACATATTACTGGAGAAATTATCCATCTCCCACCAATATTTCCCCACTAACCATGTCCCTTAATACAACATCTAAACATTTCCTAAACACCTCCAGGTGCAGTAACTTCCCTGGGTAGCTCATTCTAATGCCTGATCACACTTTCAGATAAGAAATTTTTCCTAATATCCAACCTGAAACCCCCTGGCACAACATGAGGCTGTTTCCTCTGATCCTACCATTATTCCCACTAGCCCTATTGCTAGGTACATCTAGCACCTCATCACCTATAACAAAGACAGAACTTCTCTGTCACAGAAATTTTTAAGAAATTCAAAATTTGACTCAGCTCTTTCTCAGTTTGTTGGCTTATTATTCCAGGTTTTTGTTTGTTTTATTTTCTTACAAGTGAGTCTAGTTCTGTGAATTAGACATCTGGAATTACACATGTAACTGTATTGTATGCAGTACAGTAGTAAGTAATAATTAGATGATGCAACCAGTTGCAGAGCAAAATATCCTTCCTTTATCATGTCATAAATCTGCTAAGCAACAACAATTACCTTAGGGGGGAAAAAAAAGAGGTTACACAGGACAATTAAGTTTGACTTAGAGACTAGAAATTGAAGACATCTGGATATGTTCAGATGTTAAAAATATCATATAACTGCTTTAAGAAGACAGATCAACGAAATTTTAACTGTTCGGGAAAGAAAGCTACAATTCTTAGTGCATTTGAAGCTACCTTTTATAATATGTAGACCACTAATCTTTAAGAACAATGAACTGTAAATAAGTAGTAGCATACTTATTTAATCTGAAGTCTACATTATTCTTTGGATAGCATAATGGAGCTTCTGTGAACTGCAAATTACTTATAATTCAATAAAAAGCCTTGTGCCTTGTTCGTTATTGTTGTAATACTTTGCATTTCTGTCACAATTATGATTTCCCTTAGAGAAATCTATTCTGTAAAAGAATTATGAAGGGCAGAGCAATCACATAAAACCAGTTTATCTCACTGATAACTAATTTTTTTCTTCTTTAGAAATACAGCAAACACAAATGGAGTTTTATCCTACAGCATTCTGAAACAATTTCCACAGTAGTTATCTGTAACCCACTGTGCATGTTGTAATTATCACTTCTTTTTAAACCTATTATCCAACTACTATTTTTTTTACAGTGATTAAACAAACAATTATTTAAATTCGTGTCTTTTGTAATTAAAAAATAGTGGAGTTGTATATATTTTTCCATGAATGATGATGATATTTCTTACAATAGGAGTTAATTGTATTCAGTAACGTAGTGTGAGAGTTCCTCAAATCCTCTTACATAGTAGATATTTCATGCAAATTAGTGTTCTGAAAAAAAAATATATTCAACCTGTTCTGAAGCATTTATGGAGGAATAAAGCGTCCTTTTGATTTTAGAAGAATGTGAACATGGCCTTGAATGAATAAGTAGAAAGCCACAGGAACTCTGTCTTCTTTAATGGACCTAGAATAGACGTAATACACTGAGCAAAGACACAGTGAAAGTTTTGGTGCTATGATATAAAATTTCATGACTTCCTCTTCCGCAAGAAGCGCTTTTTTGTTAGATGTTTCAATCAATATGAAAGTTACTTTGAAAAAAAATTTGTATGTGTTCTCTATTTATGCTAAAGATCCTAATGGGAAATTTCAGAAGTTCCAAAAGGAGTATATTTGTAGAGGTCATCTACTCTGTGCCTAAATATAGATCTTCCCTAATAACAGGGTTTACAGTTGGTGGGAATGCTACAAGCCTGGCCAAGCCTCTCAGACCTCAGAAGAAATTGTTCATATCTCATAACTTAAGGACAACAATTGTTTTATCTCTTCTGAAAACAATGCATATCTCAGAGAATGGGAGCAGAAGTAGGTAGAGCAGCAGACGTTCATGTGAAACAAGCCTGGATTGACAAATCAGGAGGAATTTCCTGGCTATAACAGTTATGAAAAGAGAGTGAAAGTACTGTATGATCAACTAAGATTTTGCCTCTTTGGCTCTTACATTTGAGATTTATTCGTTTAGCTGTGCTACCTGTGCTATTCTCTGCAGATAGTATGTGTAACTGTTGCTACTAATTTTATTGAGAACTGGCTTTCATTTGTTTGTTTTTGTTTATTTCTGTCCTCTTTCTTTCTTCCCAGGGGGGAGTATATGTAGAGCTGATGAATTCTTGTGCAACAATTCCCTCTGCAAACTGCATTTTTGGGTTTGTGATGGAGAAGATGACTGTGGAGATAACTCTGATGAAGTTGCTGAAATGTGTGGTATGGCATTAAATTTCTGAATACTTTTTGTGTAGTAAAGCAAATAACTGATTTAGAAATGACATGTAATGTACATAAAAATATGAGGATACATATCTAAGTTTTCTTCACTTAACCTTTCAGTTAGCTTAAACTTTTGGTAAACAAGCAGGGTAATCTAAGTTAGTGTTGTGTTACCTGGGATGTGTGACAGTGAAAAATCTGCTCTGAAAAAGTGGCTTCACCTTTCTTCTTTTCAAGTTTACATCCTTTATCTCTACTGAAATTACAGGTTATATATCAAATAAAAAATTACCTGTGTGTCTTTTTTAAGTTACGTCTGTCTGGTAGGTGTATACTTATTTATTATTCTGAATACAAAAATTGTGTAACAAATGCTGTGTGTTATTACTCCACATAGTAATTACCTTATGTGATTAATACTTAACGCAGTCGAGGATCACAAGATGTCAGAAATAATGAAGATATTTTTAGCAAAAGTGCACACCCATACAAAAAAAGGACTTCCTTTTTTTAGATAGTATGAGTCTTTTTGTGTGATCCCAAATAATACAGTACTTTGTCAGACCTAGGCTATCCACCTGCTGGAGTTTAACCCTACTGTAAAATAAAGTTCTCACAGTTCTTCTAGGCTAACATCTACAATTTATTTTCATAATGAATTCAGGAAATTTTAATGAAAATACTGTTGAGAATATTCTTTACAGCTATATGCAACTTTTACAGCTATAATTAAGCTTAACATTCTGTTGAACAAGTCAGTGAAATCCCTAATGCAAACAGGTGATGAGCCAGTTTGTTACAGTTTTCCATTGTTACTGCTATTCCTGCAAGTTTGGTTACTTGTGGAAAAATTAATCTTTTTATAGGAGATACACAGATGGGGAAAAAAAATTACTTCTGTAATGATCTGTATAGAGAATTAAATATACATCTTCCTTTGTTTTATTTCTGACATATTTAATGATTTTCAAAAATAGTATAATATTTCATGTCACACATAATACTTTCATTCCTGAAATGAAAAAGTGGCTCTGTAAACATAGTTTTAGTGTTAGTACATTAGGGATCAGAACTTAAAATCAAGTACTATTTGTATGTCATGTAGAGTTGTGTTTCCATGCTTGCTTATTGCCTTGATAAAGAAACATTTTAAAAAATTCAAGGAATATAACTGGGTAATAGCTGATTTTTTATTTTTATTTTTTAATATGTAGTTAAGTTTCCATGCCCTCCAACAAGGCCATACAGATGTAGAAACAACAGGGTTTGTCTGAGACCTGAGCAGATTTGCAATGAGGTTGATGACTGTGGTGATAACTCGGATGAAGATCACTGTGGTAGGTGACATTACCTTTCAAGGCATTCAGATCTAAGAAAACAACTTGAAGGCAAACTTTGTGGCAGAGATCTGCTTGTCCTTCAGTAAAGCTTAGCTGGAGGTTAGTAGATCGTAGTTTGAAATGGAAAGAAATTAGGCTTGAAATAATTGCTTACTGTTTCATGGTCATTCCAATTTGTGTGTCTAAAATCTAAAAAATCTTACTTATTGCTTTAATACTGATTCATTTTTCTTACTCATTTGTAATTATGTAGATAAAATCACATATAAACCAAGACCATGTAAAAAAGATGAATTTACTTGTAATGATAAGAAATGTATTCCAATGGAGCTACAGTGTGATTGGTTTGATGACTGTGGAGATGGTTCAGATGAGCAAGACTGCAAAATAAGTGAGTTTGCTTGATACGTTTTTTTGATAATTGTAGTAGAAAAGAAATATTAAGCTAAGGCTAAGAAACTTATCCACGTACAACCTTCTCAACATGCAATTGTAACATGGATGTAACGTGTTACCTGCTCACTATCAATACACTCAGTCTTATGTCAAGATAAAAGTTGATTTTATAGCAACTCAGGTTGTAGTAATCGTAACAGTAGTTCTTGAGATTTTTGGAATAGATCAAATGTAATTTCATTACTTTTTACTTCACGTCTGCAGCAGGATGAATTTTAGTATTAAAATTATTGATGTGTGAAGCACGATGACTCAACTAAATAGTATCAACTCATGTGCATACATAGATAAATACTGTAATGTCATACAGTTGTTTAAAATTTAGCTAGATCTTTCAAAAGAAAGATGCATGTCACGTTTTTTGTTGGTTTGTCTTGGAATGTGTTACTTTTGATAGTTAAAACAAATCTATCAGAAACTTTTAGACATTTTGTTTATGTTTAGGTGTAACAGAATATACATGTGAAGATAACGTGAACCCTTGTGGAGATGATGCATACTGTAATCAAACAAAAACATCCCTATTGTGTCAGTGCAAGCCTGGATTTCGGAGAAATGAGAGAAATAGACAATGTGAAGGTACAGGCCTTTTCTATCACCTTTCACTGCAAACTATTAAAAGTCAAACTGGCAGTCATTTTTCTGTGCTAGAGAAGATGTGTATCACGTGTATATTTTTCCTAGAGTACAAACTCTTTAAAGCAATGGCATTCAGAAATTAAGATAAAAAGCTGGAAGGACTTAAAGGATGTAGATATAAGCATTTTAACTGGAGAAGTTATCAAAGATTAATGCTGGTTGTGCAAGTCAAAATGTTCCAAGTGAAATGATTTTACAATTTAAAATGTAAATGGATGATTTATGGTTTAATAGAAGAGTTAACCAAGCAATTAGGATTAACTTTTAAATATGTATATGATAATATTTTGAATGCTTAAAAATAATGAAGATGCAGAATACTGAAAATCAAAATGAAAAGAAATCAGTTGAAAGTAAACTACTTTAGACAAGGTAATCCTAATATCTATTATAGCACATTGAGCAGGGAAAAAAAGATATGGTAGTTATAAGGAAATATAAGCCTACTTTCTGGAAGAATGGTTGTGAATTCACTTCTTTATTGGTGAGAAGTTCCTTGCAGAAAATGCACAGATCAATTCAGTGGGACAATCAATGTGAACAGACCCTTAAATATAAAATTTTCATCATTTGGCTTTTCAGTACAAGCTGTACACGTGAGCTTTTCAAGTAACAGGTGATTGTGTAGTTTTAAGTATAAGAGAGGTAATTATGTTGAAGATAATCATAGCAGACATTTTCATTCTCAAGGCTGATTTCAAGCCCTAATGATGATAGTTAATACAGAAAGGATGGAGAAGTAGTATAATAATAAATAAATTCTAAGCTCTGTTGAATGCAGTGGGAATAACATTAATGATTGCAGAAAGCTTCTTTCACTGTTGTAAGTTATAGAAAGGGTACAAGTTCATTTTCTTAATCCACATTGTTGCACGTATTTAGAATGTGTTAAATAGTAGGATACCATGCTATAGGTACATAAATTGCATTTCTTTCTCACAGATATCAATGAATGTATGGTATTTGGTGCCTGCTCCCAGCATTGCAATAATGTTAAAGGGTCATACAGATGTGCATGTGAGAAAAACTATAAGGAATGGAATAACAGTTGTAAAGCAAAAGGTAAGGTTACAGAAATGGACAATACTAAATCTTCTGTTACTAATATGGTTGCTAACACTGATAGTTTGCATATAAAAATAGATTTTAGTTAAATATTCCTTGAATGTGGCACAGAAATAATTCTCAAAATCACCCAGATTAATGTTTCATTGAGGTAAGCAGTAAATTCTTATACCTACCATAAAAATGAACATACTTAATGTGAAAGTTTGTTATAATTTTTTCAATCTCCAACTTTTTCTATTTGCAAAAATTACAAATACAAAAAAGATAAAATGATAACAAAAGAAAAGAAAAAACAAAGGATATATATATCAGCATTCTTTTGAGCTTTCTTATGATGTTCTAGAAGCTTGAGGGAAGAATCTCCTTATTTTAATACTTCAGGAGTAAACTAAATAGTATCTGGAGTTAACATGTTTTACTTCAGTCATGTAAGTGTTTTTCTAAATACAGTCATCTTAAAACAGGTATCTCATGTAAATCAACTGCCCAGACCACATACTACTCAAGGTAAATATGCACACACAGATTAAGTTTCTGTCTTTCATGAGACAGATGTATCGTACAACAGCGAGCTATTAGTTTTGTCTGAGCAATTAGTTTTGGCATAGAGTAATTTTTAAATTCATGTTACAAATGAAAAGAAAAAAAAACCAATAATCCAACTGCTGGAGTAAATTTAACATAATCATTATGGATCTACATCTGAATAAGTGAAAGTATGAGCATAGCATCTCACCCATGTAATGCAAATGTGATTTATACCTACACTTGGTCTTCAGCATGACACCACTGTTAAAGTTAAAAGAAATTGTGGTTCCTTAGCTTTGTGCATATATGGTGCACAGCTATGAACAGTAACTAATCAGAGCTTTATGGTCTGTAAAGTAATATTTATGACATATATCTCAGAACCACAACAAAATGAATCACGTTAATCCCAGTCCTTCGTTCTCTTTACAACAGACACATAGTGGGTAGGTATAGATGGTGGTAGCTTTATGCACATTTTCTTGATGAAAATTTGTCCTGGGAAGATCATGTTCATGAGTAATTAATAATTTCCTCCATATATAACATGGACTCTATCAGGATGAAGAATCATTACCTGCTATTGAAGATGTTCAGATCGCTTTATTTGTATGTTGATTATGTAGTCTCATGTGTCACAGCCTGAGTTTGAGTGCCAAATTGTGAAGAATGAAGTTATTTCCCTGAGCATGAATGCCTTTCTTATCCCAAACAATCAGAAAATAATGTTGACATAAAAAAAAAAAATGGTCAGATAAACACTGATTTTGCATTAGTTGACATTTACCTTATTTTTGTTTCATTATAATAATCCCTAGGCTCTGAAGAACAAGTTCTCTATGTTGCTAATGACACTGACATCCTGGGTTTTGCATATCCATTCAACTACAGTGATGTTCATCAACAAATATCACATATTGAACATAATTCAAGGATAACTGGAATGGATGCATATTTTCAAGGGAACATGATTGTTTGGAGTACTCAGTTTAATCCTGGAGGAATTTTCTACAGAAAACTTCATGATGAAGAGAAAAGGCAAAGTAACAGTGGTTTGATAGTAAGTAAAACAAACAAACAAAAAAAACCACCAAAGATTCATTTCCATTCACTTTTTTATTTTATTTTTTTATGATAACAAATGTTGATTCAGTATATCAAAATATTGATAGATTGGTGGTAATTATTTTATTCAAACGATAGACATTCAGTTAAATGACTACGCCTTTCCATTCACGGCCAACATGCTTTGTCAAGTCTCTAAGAGAAAACCAACATACTATTTAAATTTTTTCTAACCAGATATAACCAAATACTAGGGGGAGGTGTACTGCAAATATGGAGTAATTCTCCTGTAATAATTTTTTTATATAATTGAAAATCTCTAGACGGATCACTATATTGAGTTCTATAAGAAACAAGAAGCTTGTAAATCTTGTGAAGTTGATGTGTTTGGTTTCTTTGTTGTTGTTTTTAATGATTTATTTTTGTTCTTCATGGTTTATATCCAGATAACTTATGCAATGGTAAGTGTAGTCTGCTGGTCTGCAACTGCTTTAATGGATCTGCATTTTATTATGGGTCCATAAAACTGAACATAAACTTCCTCAAGATTTCTTAATAGTCTGGGGGTTGTAATTTTCATAATAGATTCAATGTTATCTCCCAGCTTAAACTAACAAAGAAAAAATGTTCTTACAATTACTATAATTTTATATTGCTTTCTATATTCCTGCTTTGCCATTATGTCAAAATACTTTGTGGTCACTACCTCCTAGTTTGAAGCTACTGAAATGGAGCTTTGTTTTCCCCAGTGTTAAGCAAAAGCTTATATTTTTCTTTATATGCTATTTTTCTCCAAATCTCCTGGCAGGTAGATTCTGGTGAAGGTATTTCATCCAAATCATACAAAGGTTTTGACAAATCTGTATGTAAAAAATATACTGATGACTGACTATGAGTATAACTTGGGTATGTTTCATATACTGTAGAATCATAGAATGGTTTGGGTTGGAAGGGACTTTAAACATCGAGTTCCAGCCCCTCTGCAATCATATTTGTGGAGCACTTATTTCTCACTGTGCTAACCTATTCAGAATATTTTCCCAATTTTATCTCATTAATACTCAAATATCATTGCCATATGTATAGCTGATCAGTAAGCTAATTAATTTTGTAGTGTTGCTCTAATGCCATCACTTAAATTTTAGTTTTGAAAAGGTTGAGAATTCCTTATTTTTAACTCAAGTTTTAATGGATAAGTTTTCAAAGGTTACATTATAACTTTTATATCTAGACTTTGATATGTAAATTCAGATGGCAAACTTGAACAAACTCACCTGCATTTTTCAGGTAATTGCATTAATGCAAAAATCCATCTCAATTGAAATTGCTCCATGGAATTAGCATATCAAGAGACTTCCTCAGAGAATAGCTTTAAGTATCTCTTATATTTCTCTGTGAAAAGGGCTTTAAACTTGGCACAAATTGAAGCATTAAAGGAAATAGTAAATATCAACTCTTCAGAGTTTATTGACAGATGCAGAAGAGGATTCTGATAGAGTTGATACACGTGAATTGGTGATAACTGGTGCAGCTGTTTACTGGTATAATCCTTTGAGGGAGGATATATAAGTTATTTGAGGCAAATATTCAACATAGTGATTTTCCACTTAAACTAGAGTGCTGCTTATCATGGAAGAGGATACAAAGCTGAACATTAAAATAATTGTACTGTAAAGCAGGAAGAAAAACATGTTTTGTGATGCATTTAGTCACTGTATTAGAAGCTTGCTTAAGGCTTACTGTTCTGAGAGCTTAGCAAGGGCCCTTAACCACTCCTATCACATCCATTCGTCTACTCACAACTTTGCCCCAGGACCCAGGGAATTTCAATCCATGGCTTTAAATGGAAACAATTTCTAGACTGTTTTCTCTAAATATTATTTTTGCAATGTATTAGAACCTAATGTCATTCATTTACCAAAAAAAAAAAAACAAACACCAAAGTAATTAGGGTTTTATAGGTTTTATAACTCAAAAACTTGTCTTAAAGAACATACCTAAAATTTAGTTTATATCCATCCCAGCTAACGTATGTCATAGCTTTAATATACTCTGTTAATACACTGTATGAAGTGGCATCTGATTAAGATTGCAGACAGTGGTTTTAAATCTATACAACATTGATGTTTGGTTAACAGCCATTTTTCAGGCTAACCTTACAAATATTTTCTGTGACTCCTCTGTTTTATGCAGTCAATCTAACCTATCTCATGGTATATTAATTATGTAGAAGATGTTTCCAAAGGGCTGAGAAATACTGTTGTGTTTTTTAAAGTTTCCTGCTCTGATCTATACACTGGTATGATCAGGCTAACACCAAGATACCACCAGTGTAAGAGAGCTCCTATCCAAGCACTTACTGATGTTAGCAGGCGTTCAAGCTCAAGGAACATTCAAGGAACATCTATGCTACACTTTTCAGCTGTTAACTGATTTAAACAGTATCCTTCCAGCAGATTTTCTCCTTCTTTTTTAGCAGTGTTTATCGTTGGTAGGTTTTTAACATAAATTTTCTCCTCTAAAATTTAGCTTCAGGGTATGAATTGTTTTCTGTAATCTATACATCAAACCAAAATGGTTTCCAGATCCAAATTGGTACTGTAGCTTTAAAATAAGTAAACAGTTTTTACCTACAGAAGACATTTTTCAATTGACAAGAATGGTCAGAAGTGGTCAAGTTGAGGCACGTTCTGTCTCTCAGTAGAAACTACTTTAGTTCAAGAGGTGATCAGGTTTTAAGCCCCTAGATTTTCTACCAAGTTGTAGTAAATCATATTCAGCATCTGAGTGGACTACAAGAACTGTTTAAAAAAAAAAAAAAAAGTGATTTTGCTCCTGTATTTGCAACTGTGTTCTGTATGCAAAAGTCATTCATCATTAACATAATCCAAATGAGGTAAAAGATCATTTACAATAAGTAATTCTCCTAGACAGTACAAGAAGATGCATAAGACATCAGAAACATGATATGATGAGGTTGAAACATAATGAAGACAACTGAGAATTAAACGGCAGTAGCATCAGCTTGTGTTCTTTTTATTCTCTCTTTTTAATCTCTTACACCAGATGGTGGCTTTCCCTTTCTTGTGGTTATCTCCTTGTTAATTTGATATTTAATATGAGTCCCAGCTTTAGTGGAATTTCACTCTTCCTGTGTGGTTGGAAAAGGGTCAGTGTTAGAAGCAACCCAGTGTTGTGCCAGAATGTTTTGGTGATCCCTTTGTCTCATCTGTGTCATGGGACCTTGTGTCACTTGTTTGCCAGGTTCCAAACAAAAATAAAGAAGAAACAGTCTTAATAGAAACAGTGGTTCATGAACAGTCCAAAGGAAGGCAGTGAACTGTGCTTGCTCTGATAGTTTCTGTCCGTTTAAAAGAATATTTGGTTCCAGTGTTGTAGTTTATTGCTTCCAGGTAAGATCATGAATTCTCACAGTCTCCAAAGTAGTAGCTGGAGATGTCAAGGCATTTAGAGGCTTATGGACACAGATAGCTGAATATATTCCTGAATTAAAAGCCATTTGGATTTTAAAAATTGCAATGAAAACTATCAGAAAATACATATGCTATCAGGTATTTTTTCTTCTCTTTGAAATTCTTGAAGTAATATGTAGATAACAAGAAAAAGAGCAGGATATTGCGTGCGGTACTACAGTACTTGAAAAAATAATTTTTTTGATGTATTTGTGAATCCTTATGCTGCCAGTATTGTTTCGTTTAAAAACAAAAAAAAAAAAAACAAAAAAACCACATGATACTTGTTTTTTTTTTCTTCTTAAATTGGTATGATTCTGTTTTTAAGGTACTTGTTTCTAAATGCAGTGTTTAATTGTTCAACTAAATAAAAAACTTCTGTATGTCTTTAGAACATTCAGTCTTTGATATTTTAGAGGATGAAAGTTGTACAGACTGTCTAAATTCACCACTATAGGTCCTGTTTTTCACATGCAGATGGACATGACCTTTAATCTATGATGAAAAAAACTCTTTAAATTTGACATCATACATCAACCAGCAAACAATTGCTTATGTATCTAGTTCATGCAAGTATTAATTTTGGATGATATGCTGCATTTATGTAAGAAATAACTGGATAGTCTTATTTTACAGATCTTATTTCTCTCTTCAAGAATTCTAGTGAACAACAGAGAATTCTGGTCATATCTGTCTCCTGTTTGCAGTATGAACTTTTACTGTTAAGACTGTATTTTAGGAACTTACACCTTAATTGTAATTGTGAAAGTTTTAATCAGCCAAGCCTTGTTTACATGTGGAGCTTCAGTTTTAGATGATGGAGGACAAGTAGAATTAACAACAAGGAGAAGTGCTTTGATAGCTTTCTTGTTACTGCCTTGCAATACTGGTCAGAATTCAGAGGTAACTTTTGATGATGTTCTAAATGCAGTCATTTTATTTATCCTTGGCATTCTCCTGAGGAGTCATATCTCAGGATAGTATGAACTGTCATTTCCAGTGAGGTGTTTAGGAGAGGATATCATTGCATAGTTCTTCAGAGAGTATGAGAAATGTATAAATTCAATTCTTTGTTGTTGTTTTTTTTTCCTTTAGAATTACAATATATTTCATTTGTTTGCTTCAGCAGCAGTAGTTCAGTGTTTCTGAATATTTCAGCATATATATGTGCAAAAGGTAGAAGTTACTTGCCAATACAAATCTGTAACTATGCAGCTGCTGTAAATGATCATTTCATTACATCTGACTTTAACATCTGTTCCTTTTAGTGTCCAGAATTTAAAAGACCTAGGGGCATTGCTGTTGACTGGATTGCTGGAAACATTTACTGGACTGATCATTCCAGAATGCATTGGTTCAGCTACTACACAACACATTGGACTAGTCTGAGATATTCCATCAATGTAGGTCAACTGAATGGACCTAACTGTACAAGACTCCTTACAAGTATTGCAGGAGAACCATATGCAATTGCTGTAAATCCTAGAAAGGGGTATGTAAGTTTCCACATTACTCTGCTTTGGTAATTCAAACAATAATTCAAATTAAGAGAAATAAAAAGTCTATAAATATCTCAACTTTTCCATGACATTTACTTAACCTCATTCTCCATTTGCATGCATGTAAATCAGGCTATACTATTTCCTATACTTTCAGGTAGGTTGCTCACAATCATTTAATATCTGTGAAATGTTTTGAGGTTCAGTATGTGTATATGTGTGTGTATATATATTTGTGTAATGCTTTTAGGATGATGTACTGGACAGTTATTGGGGATCGTTCTCACATAGAGGAATCATCTATGGATGGTACATTGAGAAGGATATTGGTTCAAAAAAATTTACAAAGGCCTACAGGTATGCAAATTATCACTTTTTCGGGATTACATGGCATTTTTTAACTCTCTGTAGATTTGTTGACTGAATTCTTGTTTCTGTGTTAGCAGTATGTATATGTGACCCATGTGCAGGTGATAATAAAAATTTTTTGTTTTTTCATATGATGCAATTTAATACGACTTAAACTTCCACAAGTTTTAAAAGTCATGACAAAGCATTACATAAAATCAGCTTAAAAAAGTAAATGATTTGTTCAGTAACACTTAACAAGCAAAATCAATTAAGGGCACATCAATTAAGGATGGGAAAAGTTTTCTAATAAAGCATATGACGTCTTGCAGCCTATTATGGTTAGTTTCCTAAATACTCTTCAAAATAATTTAAAACTAAAAAAAAAAAACCACAAGAATTTAGGTTTTGAAAGAAACAGCAACTTAATTATCTCAGTATTTTGCAGAACTGTTTTGAAACTTCACAGTGTGTGTTGAGATCTTGTGAATTAACATTAAGTCTTCACTGGCAGGATAAAAGTAATTTTTATGACAAAGGAAATGGTAAACTCAGAATGAAATGTGTCT